ATGAACTCGTCGAGTTCTCTCATGAACTCGCCGAGTTCTTCTGTCTGCTAAGCCCTTCTTAATGGATTAAGCTCCTATCCTTCAGATCTAAGCTCCATACTTCATATTTATACTGAAAATGTATTTTTAAGGGTAAAGTTTCCAACTTTACCCGTTAATACCCTTCCTTAATGGATTTAGCTCAAACCCTAACTCTTTAAGACCTAGATCTTTATCCAAAAGCCATTAATACTCCAAGCTAAGGCATACAAACTGAGATCTAGACCCTAGACACTACATGAACACATAAAGTCTCTGACTTTCTCTCCATGCATGGCCTTTTGGAGCTTAAAAGGCCAAAATGGCATCCTAAAGCTTGCATGGGGCTTCAATGGCCATAAAGTTTGCATCTTTATGCCATGAAAGCCCTTTAAGGTCGTGGATCTAGAAGTATACTCACTTGGGACGTCCATTTCCCAATGACCATGCTACTTCCCCCATAAAAGCGAAAGTGAATAGATCTAAGTAATCATTAAGCAAGTTTAAGACTTGCTTACCAGAAAATGCTGCAAATGGAGTGGAGTTTCTGGATCTATAATCTCCTTCTTGAGTCCTCAAAGTTCTCCTTCTTCCTCAAGCTTCACATACATAATATTTCTCTTAAAAATGGCTCACAAGCTCACACAATGCATTAGGGTTTCAAGATCTAGGGTTTGGGACTTGGAGGCTGGAAATGAGGCCAGCTTATGGGGGTTAAGGTGTTTAAATAGGGTGTAAAGTCCTAATTTTAGGGTTTCCCAAACCCAGTCCAACTCGTCGAGTTGGTCCTCCCCAACTCGTTGAGTTGGTATTCCAAAATGCATGGTCCAGCATTCCAACACGTTGAGTTTTCATCCATGAACTCGACAAGTTGGCTTCTTAATTGAAGTTTTCTTTCCTTAATTAGTCTTCTGGATTCCGGGTGTTACAGTTATTGAGCCAAGTGAGGAAAGGGTAAAATTGTCTTTTGCCTTGGGTGTTGAAAAAATGAAGTAGATTCCCACTTATGGTGATGACCTAATTATTAATTGGGGTTTTGTCTAATTGATTAGCGTGGGGATTTTCCGATTCAGCAGCCGATCAATGGTTAGACTGACAGCAGACTGAGGTGAGTTTGCTCACTATACTGTAGGACACTAGGATATGTTATGTGCATGTAGTCTTTGTGACTCCTGTTGTAGGTGTTATATGCCCGTGTGCCTGTTTGTTATATGTATGTGTGGTGAAATAGACCCGAGGGTGAAATAGACCCGGTATAGCCTAGTGCTAACATATGAGTTGAAATAGACTCGGGTGTGACATAGATCCGGGGGTGAAATAGACCCAGTACGGCTTTGGGCCGATGCATGAGTTGAAATAGACTTGGGGGTGAAATAGACACGACACAGCCTTGAGTTGACAGATATGTATGGTATGCAATATTTTGGGGAACTCACTAAGCTTCCTGCCAACAAACATAACTTATCTGTTCCATGGATATTATAAAACTGTAGTTGTTACCTGAATCGATTAAGAGCAAGAGTGGGCCAAATAACACGCCAAATAAGACCCTAAAACATACATCCAACATAGAATTTTGAGATGAGAAATTAGAAACCAGCGAAACAAACAAAATCTTTGAAGTTGATGAAAGCGATGAAAAAGAAGAACATGCATTATTATGGGTGCGGTGTGGACGACGATTGTTAGGGTTAGAGAGAAGATACGTTATCATTGTTGGTTGAAACTTGAAACCCAACATTTTTGGTTATATTTGACATTGCTTTGTTTCTTATGTTCTTATTAACGATAATGATAATAGAGCGCAATTTGGGCATCAGCATTCATAACAAAACTGTTGTTTTGCAAAGGATTGGAATGGCTATCGAGGGAACTATATGGGTCTCTTCTAAGAGCCAACAAAAAGCAGAAAAATTGTGATCAACTTTTGTCATTTTCTAGAGAGAAACAAAGAAAATAACATATATCTAGTGATCCCCTTACAAAATAAAAAAACGACAATATTGGTCTTCTTTTTCTTCCCATTTACTCTCTATTTTTCTAAACCAGCTTAAGAAGAAAACAAATCTGTTAGAATATTGATTGCATTTACGCTAGGGGTACGCTGGGCATATTGGGTTTCGGGTCCATCGAATCTTCATATAGTTTTGTAGTATATGATCAATTTGATAACTATTTGTATACTACAAGTCAGTATAAATGTACATCAAACTGTTTTGTAAATTGAAAATGAAAAGTTTTAAATGTATTTTGTATCAATTTTTAGGGTATTACCCATAACTTGTTATGAATTAAAATAATTGTCAACTCATCATTTACTAACTTTAACCTATCTAATGGTTAACTGCCAATAGATTTAAAAAAAAATTAACTAATCTGGTCTTTATTTTACATACATAAATTACGAAAAAATTATTTCAACATAGTTATAAAAATAAAAATAAAAATAATAAATCATATACTCTTATCTAAAAACGTATTGTAATAACTTAAACAATTTTTATCAAATCAATTCCAACCACCAAAAATATACAGTATGGTCACAAAACCATAAAAAACTATATATGAATTTTGGGAACAAAAAGGAAGTTCTACCTACAAGGAGGTCATGCAATAAACCACTCTTTTTCATCATCATAAACCCTAGTTGCAAGCTTTCAGCTACATCGGCCCTCGATTCTTCCTGGTAGAACAGAAATTTTGAGTTCTTTGTTCAAGAATTTCAGCACCAAAAAGCAACATCCTTGCTTGTTTCCTACCATTAAAGGCAAAATAACTTATATTTAACCGATAATAACAATCAACTTACATTTTTTACCATTTAAAGCAATTTGTAAACATTTTTACCATTTAATGCAACTTCTTGCCCATAATACTTCTTATTTCACCTATAGCCGGCTGGTCCAAATAATTCTCCTCCTTATAAAATTAGATTGCACCAAGTGCAATCTAATTGAGTGATTTCGTATAAAAAATAGGGATAATGTCATAAAAAGCCTTAAGTTTGGCAGAAAATGTCGGTTTTACCCTTCGGCAGATTTTTTGTTCGTTTATACCGCAAACTTGTCATTTTTTTGTCGGTTTTGCCCTTTTTACCTGCAATAGCAGGTTTCCAGGTTACCATGAATTATTTTTTTGCGAAAAAACCCTTAAGTTTACAAATATTTTGCAAAAAAACCCCGTAAGATTATAAACATATAAATTATAAATATATATTCAAAATTTGATAAAAAACTAAATAGTTTTCTACTGAAACATATTTTTAGCTTTACGTACGGTAAATTTTATATTGGTTCGATATAAAGTTTTTATATTTAAATTTTAAAAAAGTTACCTAGTTTTATCAAAATTTGAATACATTTATTAATTAATACTTAAAATTTTCAAAGAAACATTAAAAAAACGTTTGTTAGCTAATAATTAACTATGTTAAAACAGTTAAACATATGAATAATATGACATTAGTTACATTCAATTAATTTTTTAAAAAGGAAAATAAAAATATTTTATATGTTTAAAATGTTTGTATTTTAGAAATAATAAACTATCATATTTTTTTATAAAAGTAAATATATTTATATAATAAATTAGACAAATATATTTATATTTTATATGTTTAAAATGATTATGTTTATTTTTTATGTTTAAAATGTTTATAATATTTTTATAAAAAATATATGATAATATTATTATGTATTTTAACATATAAAAAATATGATACATTATTATTTCTGAAATACAAACCTTTTAAACATATAAAATATTTTTTTTCCTTTTAAAAAAATTAATTGAATGTAATTGATGTCATATTATTCATATGTTTAACTATTTTAGCATACTTAATTATTAACTATCAGACGTTTTTTAATTTTGCTTTGAAAAGTTGAAGTATTAATTAAGAAATATATTCAAATTTTAATAAAACTATGTAACTTTTTTAAAATTTAAATATAAAAGGTTTATATCAAACCAATATAAAATTTACCGTATGTAAAGCTAAAAATATGTTTCAATTTTAGTTTCATAATATAAGTTCAATAAAACTTATATTAGTTTTGATATAAACTTTTGACATTTAATTTTTAAAAAAAATTATTTAGTTTTATCAAAATTTGAATATATATTTATATTTTATATGTTTATAATCTTAAGGGTTTTTTTGCAAAATATTTGTAAACTTAAGGGTTTTTTCGCAAAAAATAATTCATGGTAACCTGGAAACCTGCTATTGCAGGTAAAAAGGGCAAAACCGGCAAAAAAATGACAAGTTTGCGGTATAAACGAACAAAAAATCTACCGAAGGGTAAAACCGACATTTTCTGCCAAACTTAAGGCTTTTTATGACATTATCCCTAAAAAATAATAGCAATGTCATCCAGATAAAAAATTATTTTCCTTGCTTAAAGAAAAAAAATTAAAATACAATGCTATAAATGAGTGTTTTCTTATAAATGTTCCTTACAACATTCTACCTTTATTTAGTCATATTTCAGTAGTACACTCTGAAAAATCAACCAAATTATAACAATTTCATCCAAATACAATTTAGTTTACAATACTATAAGAAATATAGACAGTAATTTAGTAGATTTTCACTGTAAGTCTTTTAATAAGAAAAAAATCACAATGTTTTATAAGAAAGAAAAAAGAAAGTGATATTGATATTGATAAATACACAAATCAAAGTAAATTGCCAAACATTGCATGTAGCCCTTTCCTCAAAAGAAAAATATAAATAGTTAGGCAATCGTATCAGTATCACTACCAAAAGGTAGAGAGATTGCTTCCACAGATATCAAACGAGAGCCAACCATAGTTCATAGAGGAGAGCTAGAGAGGGGAAAGCATATACAAGTAACTAAATTTACAAGAAAACATGGTAAAAGTTGATGTCGGAAAATAGTTGATATGATTATTGCTGAAAGATAGAAAGGTTAAGATAACGCAAACCACATGCAAAAAATTAACTAAAAATTCTTCTTCTAGTTACCTGTAGAAGAATAAAGCCATTTCCCAACAAAATGAATCTCACAAAACCTTGAAGCTCTTGGAAACTTCAACAAGCGTGCACACATTTCCATTTCATCCTTCATGCGTAAACTTCCACGTATGATTGTTATTGTCTTCAAAACCTCTGCATTCCCCAATATGTATTTTAGGAATTGTATATCACAACTCCGCCCCTTGCACTTTGTAATTTTCATTGTTTTAAGGTTCGAAACCAAACAAGTGGGAACTGACTGCGGCTCAATCCAGCTACTATCTTCCGGCTTTAATTTTATCACAAAACCAGATACACAACCAAATGTTATGTTATGTGTGGAATAATAACTTAGGAAACATAGAATAATAAGACATGCCAAAGCTTAGAAACAGTCCAATTACCTCTTCAAAACATAAATGCTCCAACTCAGGAGAGCTTTCAAGAATTTGACTAACTAAGATCCATGGAGATTTGAAAGAATCCTTCAATTCCAAATGCTTCAAATTGAGAAACTTGGGCAAATGTGAATGTACAAATTCCTTCAACAAAAACAGCAAATTAAAAGTCAAACATTGCATGCTCTTAATTAAAAAGCCGCTTAGTAATGGAGAAAGTAATATACACTGAAGTTTTTTTAGGGAATCTTACATTAAAAGTCGAAGTGAACAAAGAAAGTGATTTAACTCCACTTAATCCTTTTAGAAGCTCAACCTTCTGACGATAATCTATTAAACCACCATTAAAAAAAACAGCTGCCTCAACCAAAGACGACAAATCTTTCATCACGAAGTGTGGGCACAAATCCTCACCAACACAAAGGTATTCAAGATTAGGGACATTTAAAACAACTTTGCTTGTATATAAACTACTCATTCTTAATTCCAATCGCTTCAAAGTAGGAATGTTGAAATTGTAGTCTACTTCATCATCAGGCCATAATATCTCCAGAGATAAACTTTCAAGTACTGGGCAGCCATGGATGAATCTGAATAAGTTGACACAAGATATCCTAGAAACATTGAGATCAAGAGTTTCCAAACCAGGAAGCATCACGACTGGAGACTGACCATTAAAAACATCTGAATCATCAAAAGTACTCCCAGCTAATCTTAATTTTGTAAGCGTCTTGCAAGTAAACAGGCTGAGAGGCAAACCAATTTTCCTAACTTGTATGTCAACCTCACTAACATTTAACCTAATTGCCTCATTAATCCACTTTGCAACATCTGACTTTTGCACTGAAGTACGAAAAAGACCTAACCGGAATGATTGAAGTTGTGATGTTTTGCAATGCTCCAATACCCGATCCACAAATTCTGAGAAGCATTTGAAATCAAACCCAAGGTAATAATCGTTCAAGTCAAGGTTTGTGACCAATGTCCAACTGTATTTCCATCTTTTGGATAAAATGCTAGTTCGCACAGCAAAACTTGTAGGCATTAAAGAGAGTATATGTGAAAGAATCTCTTCAGGCAAAGAGCTAAGCCTATCTTCATTCTTACTTCTGGAACTCATTTTTTTTCTTCAATTAGGGTTCAACTCTCACCTGCAAAGATGAAGAGTAAGATTGAATTAAATGTAGACAATCCAAGAAAGAATTATGGATACTTGGATTTGAAAACACATTTACTAAAATTAACAAGGAATTGTAATTGTTTACTTTAAATCAAACGATCTGCATATTTGTTATAAAGTTCTTGGAACTCAGATCTTTTTCACTTATAATTATGCAGACATGCAAATCAATTTCAAGAAGAAAAGTGTTATAACGCAGAGCGTTTGGAAGTAAATCGTCATACATAATCGGACTCCAGTCGAAAACATTTTACATGCACTGATGAACAAGAAAAGCAAGATACAAGCAGGTATTGCATTTGAAATAATAAACTTCAAGATAAAGACGAATTGTACATTAGCCTGGTTTATGCAGAAGTGAAACTGGAAGCGCCTAAACCTCAAAGCCCTAATCGGAAACTGATTAAGGTTTTAACTATAGCAAATATAGGGGTGTTTGGGATCAAGTTTCAAAGGTGTAATAAGCTTACAAAAGTAGGAAACTCCGTGTTGTTTTCCTCCGGTATGTCGCCGCAAATGAGCAGACGTTGCCGCTAAAGGGCGTCGCCACTAAAAGTCGTCAACAATAAACCCCTCTTCGTCTTCAGTTTCTTTACCGGTTGATCTATGTTTCCCTCGTTCTCTATGATCACCACGGTCGAGATCATTGCAATTTCACAGACAAACGGTGTTCTTCTCCTTCCATGCTGCCGGAAGTCCAGCCCAAGCGACGATTTAGCTCATCAATGACATTTATCTCCTTCCACGTAAACCATATATTATTTTAGAATGTTTTTATAAATAATAATAAAAAATTTTAATGTTTCGATCTACTTTTCGAACAATTAATATTTATTAGCAGTTTTTTATATTTTTATAACATTTGTTTTGTATTAGAAATGAACGGTTTCATAAAAACTAAAAAAAGAGAAAACTATAATTAGTGGCGACGGACACTAGTGGTGACGGGGTATTAGCGGCGACGCAAAACATTAGTGGCGACAATTGGAGAATTAACGACGAGCCAACAACGACGACCATTTAGCGGCGACGACGTCCGTCACCAACTAAAGGTCATTATTCTTGTAGTGTGAACAACCTTTTAGTCCAATATAACTTTATTGAAAAAAAATCAAAAAAAACAAATTATGATTTGACTTTTTATTTATCCGTATGATATCTATATTCACCATTTATATATTATTATTATTATTGAATTTAGTTAAATAGCTTAACATAATCATAACTGGCTAATACTATTAGCATCTTCTGATGATAATTAAATTGTGTTGGATTTTATTCAGAAAACCAGTTTTTAAAACGATAAATTTTACAACGGAAACGTTATAAAGTTTGAATAACATAAAACAATTGTATTCTCATCAAAGATTATTTTGTATGAACAGTCAACAGAATGATTAAAACACAACCATAGATGGATTAAGAAAACACAACCACAGAGGGATTAAGAAGTAACAACATTTGAAGATTTTGAATCCTCTTGGGAGGTTGGAAATTGATGAAGTATGACAAGAACCCAAATTATAATTCATCTAGATATGTACACCAATAATTACCAAGAGACTTGATTGATAGTTCTTCTTGTAACAAAAGACTCTTAAGCCTTCAAGACAAAATACAATTTTTGCCTTAAAGGAGAGAATGAAGTATCACATTTCTTCTATCTTTGTCTTAAGAATTAAGAGAAAAAAATAAAAGATAGATGCAAGAGCAGGGGCGGAACCAGTTAAGAGCCAGGGGTAGCCTGTGCTACCCCTTAAACTCATCCGAGAAATGTAATTTTTTTTTTGTGTTGCATCGAGGCTACTGGTAGATGATTCAAGGTGATACTCCTTGTTGCAAGAAGATGAAGAATCAGACAAAAAATATTCATAACAGGTATGCTTTGCTTGAGAATTAATATCATAATTCCAATTTGATTGTCTTTTCTAAGATCGAGGCTCAATTTCCTCTTTTGGAATCATCGTAACTTGAATTCTAATTCTAATTACTTGAATGATAAGCTGGTGTTTCAACTACGTTTCTTGAATTGCACACAGTACACCTTAGAGTTTAAGCTCTGGTCATTTGGATGTTACACAACTAATCTCACCTAAACCAACCAACAAATTCTCAGTGGCCCACCAACTGTTTGATGAAATTCTTGTGAGAAGATGAAGGGATTGGAGTACACAATCATGATTCATGAGCCATGGATCATATTCATAGGGATCTTAACTGCAATAATGGAAACATCCTACAGGTAGATACATACAGGTAAACATTGCACCTATTTCATTCTACACATAATGTTTAATCATAAAACTTAGATGCTTTCTATATGAGTTTTATTGTCTCCCAAGGTCTTATGATAACCTTTTTGCATCAAAGCTCCAAATAAGCCTTGTCTTGTGAACCATATGCTGTAAAGACCATTTTACCCTTCATGTTACCAAGCCAAGAACTTCTGGTATTGACATTATTAACCATAAAACTACATTGCCAGGAGCATGAAATTCTGGTATTGACATTATTAACCATGAAGCTACATTGCTTGTATAACCAATAGCGAATCAAATTATTCATTTTTCCAAAACCATGTTTATTATAGTTGAGTGTAAGAGGTCATCTTAAGATCTTCCGTGGAAAAAAATTTGTGCTACCCCTAATATTTTTTTCTAGTTCCGCCACTGTGCAAGAGTTTGATGGTTTTCAAGTAAGTAAAGAAGACCAAGATGAAAGTCTTCAATCTTGTATCTTTACACAGTAGTTCCGCCACTATGCAAGAGTTTGATGGTTTTCAAGTAAGTAAAGAAGACCAAGATGAAAGTCTTCAATCTTGTATCTTTACACAGTAGGTCGTAACATTTTAAAACCTTTCCATACCTCTAGCAACCTATGGTTAATAATTATGTCAAGACATGCTTTATAAGCGTATCTTTCCTGTTAAAATAACCAAAGGAGACAACTCTTGTCTTCCCTCTCCTACTTTCGGCCAAGAGGAAGAAAAAAAAACAAGTTTTTATGAAAAAAAAAGCTTTATAAGTTATAAACCTCATGTACATTTATATAAAAGACAAAACCCTTTTAGTCCAAAAAAATATACATGAATTAATATATCATACCTTATGATATATTTTGATACTTAATATTGAAAATTAATATTTTCATAAAATAAAAAACTTCCAATTAATTACAACATTATAAATATATTCATGGATAATCAAATTCTTACAAATAATCTATTTATGTCTACTTGTAATTGATATGACCTTATATGATCATATATTATTAATAATATCATTTTAAGATGATTTTTAGGCATATAGATATTTCAGTTTTTCTTAATCAAAGAGAATTGATGTAAACTAGTTTTAGGACAACTCGAAAGACCATGTATTTTGTCAATTCTTCTTAGTTGGCATCCTCTAATCGAAAGATAACCCTTCTAATATTTGTAAATAAAGTATCTTTGTTAAGCATTATAGTAGATGAATTGATTAACTTTTTAATGCCTTTTGAGGGTCAAAATGGGCAAGTATGCTTATTCCCACTTTAATCGAGAAATATGTATGATGTATCTCCTCACGCAAGCTCTAAAACATTAATGTGGACTTTTCAAACTAAAAAATAAAAGTGTTTTTGAATATTGAAAAACTCTAAGTTTTGTACAAGTTTCATCATTTTTATAAAACTTACATGTAACCAAAAAAAAAAAACATTTTAGTCTTTTATAGAAGTTTCTTCATTTTCATATTAAAAACAACTCCTTTTTAGTCTTTTATCTAACTCTTTATGGCACGCTTCCATTTGAGTCACACGAACAACTACTTGATCGTACCTCACATCGTATTAAAATTCCAGTCACTTAGTCACTTGGAATGCAACTTCAAGAACACCGATGCAAAAACGAGGTATTGATCCATCATCATCATCATAAAATGTTTTCTCAAGACTTTACACTAAGTGAAAGGTTAGTAAATTAAACAGCAAGATAAGGGTTTGTGTTTGTAATTATCAAATCAAAGTAGATTTGTGTCATGTCTAAGTGCTAATCACATGCACAAACAATTTCCTCTTTGTCACACCTCGCTAAAGCGGAAACACGAGATACGACAGTATAAAAGGGTCTCATAGCAAAAGTTAAAGACAACATCACCATAGCACTAAGTATTTAAAGTTTACAATCCACATTCAAACGTAATTCAAAAGACAAATTCCTCAAATAAAATTGTTTCAAAAGACAAGTTTCCAAATTTATCAAATCCACACGATGCAGCATGCTCTATGATGATGAGTCTTTATAGGCCACTTACTACTTATTCCCTGAAAAAAAAATGTAAAATGAGAGGTCAACTACATAAATAGTTGGTGAGTTCACATGTTTTCAAAATTAATATGCCAAAAATCAAATTTTTGGAAGTAAATATGATAATTGAAAGTTCATTGCTAAAATAGTAATAAGGTTTGTGTGCTAGAATTTAGAGTTCTCGCTTTTCTGACCTAGCGCCCTCTACGATTGTAATACGCCCTATCAAGATCTATGTTTATCGCTAACATAATAATACAAGGCAATATGCACGCCACGTTCGGGGTGAGTGAGGAGTTGTCAAATCCTAATAATGCTATCCATAATGACCATCGACTCAAAAAGTTAATAAGCTGTGAAATGTTCCAGGGACTTAATCACGATAATGCCTCATGTATCAACATTAACATACACATATTTAAAGTATATAACAATCAAGTTTGGTACGTTTTAAAACTAAGTGCAACATACTTTAAAGAATAATAACATGCTTTTTCACCCAAAATCATGAAAACAATAAAAAGTTTTCATATTTAAAGTATGTGTATCAACATTATCATACACATATTTAAAGTATATAACAATCAAGTTTGGTACGTTTTAAAACTAAGTACAACATACTTTAAAGAATAATAACATGCTTTTTTCACCC